AAAAAAAAAAAAAAAAAAAAAAAAAAAAAAACATTTATGAAAAGAAAAAAAGTAAAAAAGTAAAAAAGTTTAGCCTGCAAAAAAGATAAGAATAAACAAAATAACTTATAAAATGATTACATAAATGATAAGAGTTATTCAATGTTGGAAACTAAAAGAAGAAATATGAACATTTTCAAAATATGCATAATTCAACTTAAAAATTATATTGAAGAACATTCCTTTTCGATATTCACTTTTTTTTAAAAAAAAAAAAAATGGGAATAACTTGAACTATCTCAAACTGATTATTTTTCAATTTTTTTTGTGTGTGTGTGTAAAATTTGTTTACAAAGTGTTTCATCTTTTTTTTTTTCAATTATTATATTTATATATTTTTCATATTAAAAATTTCAATATTTATGGGTTTTTGTGATGTTGTACATAAGTTGTTTTGTAGTTTATTCTAATCAAATATTCATTTTTTTTATTTTGTTGATATACATTTATTTTTTAGTTGCTTAATGGTTATTTTGATCCATCAACATTTACTTTTTAGTTGACTTACGAATAACAAAAGCAGGAGAACCCGGTTCTCGATTTAAGAAAAAGATGCAAATATGAATACTTACAATTATATCCACACTAAAGATTACTGGTGGCTTAAACAAAAACAACTGAGAGGGTAAAACCACCAGAAAAAGTCTAGATGGATGAAGAACAGGGGAAACTCAGCTTCAACTTTAAGTTGCCCATCTGAAACTCTGAAATGTACATTTATAGCTACCCCTTTTAATCAGGAAATCGAGAAAATTGTATTTCTCTTTATCTCCAATCTACTAAATTTCATATAGCTACGAATTTCCCATTGAGAGAGAGAGATAGAAGGGCATTTCGACTATGGCAGCAAGCCATTAGAGGCTAATTTGCCAATTAGAGGAAAAACGCAAATTCCAAGGGAAAAAAAAAACATGAGACATTAATGAATCAGACAACAAACCAATGAGCAACATCATATACACAGTAAAAAACATGAGTCACAAGGAAAAAAAAAATGAATCGAACAATTTATGTATCACCGCAAATTCATAACTATTTGTCAAT